CAAAAATGAAATACGAGTAAAACAAACTCAGTTTCTTTGGTAACTCAAACAGGGAGAACAGCTGTTGTTGGTGAATGCTGGTATGTCACTCAAAACATTGTGGCATGCCACCTTTAAAACGCGTGTCATAGGTTTGGCATCATTGTGTTAGAGACAGAAAGACACAAAGAGGAGCATAAAAAATATTGTGGCCTGCCATTCAGAGAGGGAAGAAAAGAAAATGGATGTTCCTGGCCCACCTAAGACAGGAAGTCAAGGGGGACTTGCCAAGACTTGACAGGTGAACTTCAGGGAGTACTGATTTTCAAACACTTAGAAAGGTCTGCCTTCTAAACTGCCAGACCACAGTTTATGTAGTTGGCTATAGATGGTTTTTGAGTTGTACTGTCTGCCTACATTCCCAGAAGTCATAGACAAAACCCTCGAGTCCTCCAAAAGAGGCCACGACCCATGTCTAATCAATAGACTTGCCAGACCCAATTGTGTTCATGCTTCTGCTTCCCCGACCTACCTCTTTGTCCTGGCCTTCCACCGTTTTCTGGCATGTGGCCTGTCACTCCGCTCAACAGGCAACCACAGCCTTCAGCCCCCCAAAGTTCCTGCTTTGTGAGTTTGCTTAGTTTCATGAGGCTAACTTGATTTCTCAAAGTCCAATGTGCTATCTTGTGAGGACCTCAAAGACAGCCCCTATGCACGTCAAAGAAACAAAGCCTCTATTTCTATGGGACAGAAGTTGCTTCACTTTTCCTAAGTCTTGCACTCTGCAGCCATTTTTTTAAAATTTCATGTTATTTTCATCAGAAGTGTGTGCCCCTTGTGCCCCCCCCCACAATGTTCTCCCTTCAGAACCAGAAGGACCCCCTGCTGGAGGCAGGGATGATGGCCGGCATCTTCCAGAGATGTTGTTTCTTCTTGATACCCAGAGGCAAAGCAATGCTTGGCGCATGGTTGCAGGCCTCTCACTTCCCCAGACAACAGGGTTATAAACCCCATTCTCTGCCCATTCTCTTCCAGCCACCGTCACCACCAAAGAAAAGGTGCTTCTCCTGAATTGCAGCAAGAGCAGTCAAGCAACTCACTGTGGGCGAGTTCAGGCTAGAAGAAATCATCCTCAGGGCCTCGTTGACAACAGTGGGAGTCGGTGAAATGCAATCTGAGAAAGACAAGTTGTGGAGCAGATTGTGGCTCCAGCAAGACGGGTTTAGGGAGTGCTGGGCCTTAGCCAAGGAGGCGCTTGCAACACACAACTCTTGGAGACAAAGCAAAAGTGGACTTGCCTGGATAATGGCTTGGCCACTGGCAGAGGCTTCCTGTGCTGCTTCTCCATCCATATCATGAAAGAGCTGATCCCAGGCCTAGGGTGGAAAGTGTCCTCTATTTGTCATCACAGATTGCAAAACACACAGTAATTGATATCTTTTTAAATGTATTTCTGCAGCTGATGAACAGTCCATCAGTAGTAGAGTAACACACCAGATGGTGAGACATCCAGAAGCACTAGAGTCAAGTTCACTACTTTTTGGATGACCAAAGACTGAGAACTGAAAAGTGTCTTTTACCATTCAATTAAACATGTACAAGCAGAGCATAAGTGGGGGCCAATGGAACTCCTACTACTGATCTGTCACAGATCTGACAGACAAACCTGCAAACCTGTTCTTATCTTTTGCTTCCCTAAGTGCTCCATGAATATTTTAACACAGAACCAAGATAAAAGAACAGGCCATGCTGGTTTGGATCCCACACAGTGCCCAAAGCACAAGAATGATGTGGTGGTGATGGGGAGAAATAATGTAACCGAACAGTGATGGCTGCCTCACTTGCAGAAGGTAGAGGGGTTTTCTTCAAGTTGAGCTCAAGCGCTGGTGGCTTCATGGACACATTCCAGGCTGCAAAGTGTCCTTCTAGGATGCCTTTTTCAGATTTCCAGGCTAATCTCCAACCCTGGGACTCTCTGGAGAACAAGCAGTGGTCAGGCTAAATTCTGCTTAGTTTCAGAGTCCAGAGTAGAATATACTGTAGAAGAACATTAATTTATGAAGCAATAACTCTGAACTTTAAACCAACCAACCAACCTTTGGTCATTTAATTATGCTGTATCTTTAAAGTGAGATGCATGCTCAACACTAGCTTCTGCCCCTGAAATTGGGACATAAACAGCTGTCTTCCTCCAAAGGGCATAACTCCAGGCTAGGAATTGTGCCACCAGTCATCATGGAATCCTAGAGTTGAAAGGAGCCCCTAAGTCCAGCCCTATGTTCAGTGCAGAAACGCAAATGAAAGGCTGGCACCCAATGAAGGGGACCATCCCTTCTCTGAACAACTGGTCCCCCTCCCAAACTGCTCTTACTGTTAGGAAGATTTTTCAAACATCCAGTTGGAATCTGCCTTCTGCTAAATTATCCTACAAACTAAGCTAGCTAACACCTCAGGAAACAGAAATAAAAATCACAATGATCTTAATTGATTAGAAAACTAGGCAGAGAATAACAATAAAATTTAAGAGAGTTCAATGCAAAGTTCTTTAATTAGGAAACAGAAATCAAAAATACAAGTATCACCCGCTTGTGGAAAAAAAATCTTAGTAGAGTATTTGATTCCCAATCCAGTAGTGTGATGTAGTTGTGTTCATGTGTGGGTGTGTACACACATGCACATGTGTGTAATTTAGATTCAATCAACAGAACTACCAGGAAGTGATATTTTTCTGGGCTCAGACCCCACCTTGAATGATTTGCACATTTCTGATCACAACATTTTAAGAAAATTTCAAACAACATAGGGTGAGTTCAGAGAAGGGCAGCAAGAAGGGTCAGGTGAACGGAAACTGTCTTACAAGGAGAGCTGGATGGAAAAAAGTTTATTCAGCCTTAAGAGACAACCAAAGGGGGCCATTATGACGGCCTTCTTCAAATCCCCGATAGGTTGTCACATAGAAAGAGAACCAAACTCTCTTCTGCCCCAGGGCACAGCTCAGAGAAATGAATGGGCATAGGAAGGCACGTCCTGACTTCAGAAACAGTCTAATCCCCCTTCCACCCCCAAACTAGAGGTAGGCCAGGTTTGCACAGCACATTTGTCTAGGCTAAAATAGGGTGGTTACTTTCTGGTTCAGCATCTTATGGGAACTCAGCCATTGCTGTAGCATATTCTGTGAACCAGGCCATCATATTAACCAATAATGTGGCATGTTTGAGTGTCTCACATGTGAACACATATATGATGCTGAGTCTGGAGCTGCTGCCCTTAGGCCTCTCAGCGAGAAGAAAACAGAGCCAGGATCCCTCGTTGATGCTCCCGCCAGTGTGACACAAAGGGGCCTGAGGAGGCCTTCACCACAGCAGCTGCAGCCAGGGCTAAAGGGTCAGGGTCAAGGAGCGAAAGCATCATCTGCCTGCGTGGCTCAGCCCCGGAGAAGGGCAGCATGAGGTTGGCTCCGCTAGGGCCAGTCTCTCTGCCTTTGCTGAACCAGTTCTGAGTCACTGCAGAAGAGCCTTGTCCTGGTTTGTTATTGCGCCCCTCGTAAGCAAGGGGGTGGGCTTCCTCCAATGGCTTTCAGCACACCATCAGCTCAGGGAGGGGGGAACATCCACCAATCCAGACTCCTGCCCCTGCTCACTTCAGGACCCTGCTGGGGTTTCTCTAGGCTGCTATTTCTGCCCCACCTTTCCCACCCCATTTGGGCATCCTCCAAGTTAAAAGACCATGAAATAAAAAATGTTTGAGAAACAGCAAGAAAAATAGCTTAGCTCCCGGACAATATGCCCTTTTCTCTTAGGCCATCCATGGGGCATCTTTTGCAGGTCCTGCCATGAACACTTTTCAACATCAACAGTAAATTCTGTTTTTCCTGTGCCCAGACTGGAGAATAACTTGCTGCTGGAGTTGATGTTTAGGCTTAAAACTTGCTTCTTTACCCTGGACTTTACCCTGGAGTTTTAGTGTTTGAAAGGTTTTAAAATTAGGGTTTTTTTAGAATTCTGAAGGCCTTTAGACTTTTCTCTGTTATATATATAGTTTGGTAAGCCCCAGAGCTATTGGAATGGGTGGCATATATATTTACAAATGAATAAAGCCAGGTCACCATAAAACTGGCTCTCCATGTCACAGGGGTAGTTGGAACAGACACAACAGAGGCGGCGCAGGGACTGGCAACGACGGCAGCCGAAGGTGGGCCGGATGGAGAGCCCTTCCCATCAGCGATGGAGAAATGGCCAGTGACGGCTTCACAGACAGCCGGGCCAGGGCAAGACAAAGCGAAGACCGATGGTTCTGCTGTGAGCCGGAAACATGAGAGGACCTCAGAGGGAAGAAGAGTGTGGTGTGTGTGAATGGCTGCTGGACCCTCCTCAGCCCCTGCTTGTATAAGGAAAGAGGAATTCAAGCAAACAAACAAATCCCACCCTCATCACATGTTTCAACCAACTTCCTCATTCCCCTCTTCAAAATGGGGGTTAAAATGAGTCACTCCCTTGAGGTGCTCCTTACTCTATCAAATGTATTTTGGGATGAGGAAATACAAGAGCAGCTTCCATGCCTGGAAGGTGGTTTCAGGAGAGTTTCACGATGTCACTATGGAATATTTCATGTTGTGCAGACGTCCTTTCTTCAGTGAGGATGTTTTGGTGGACCAACCACAGCATCTACTGGATGGTCCCTATAATGTCAGCAATGGAGAAATAGTTTAAAATAGTACTGGAATAAAGCCTGTCCTACTTTCCAACTTGGAAGCCTTTCAGGGGGCCCTCCCTCAAACCTACAGAACTACTAACAGCATCACCAGAATGGTGTGCCCCCCAATTTTAGCCCCTGACAGTACGATGTTGGCTGTGTCTCCTCTCCTCTGCAGACTACAACACACAGGTTAGCTGCAAAACCCAAAGGAGAGCAAAAAGTCAGGTCAAGGCATAATCAGCAAGCTGATACAAGGCAGTTAAAAGCAAAAAAGAATACAAGGAGAATAATAATAATAATAATAATAATAATAATAATAATAATAAT